GTATCCAGGAAACTTCATGCATCCACTGCACTCACTATGATTATGTATCAGTGTACTTGAGTGCTCTTACCAACTGAGTTATTCTGTCGATAGTGTGAAAGGAACAAATCCATACTTCAACACTCCCCCGGGACCTGAGCACTATTGGCTCTGGGAACTCACAAAGGGGGGCACCATTTTTCCTCAGGCACTCCAGAATGCACTAGGACTTATGAGGATAATCTCTGCCTAATGTCTTACAACTGTGAGTTGCTGCTACCCATCATCGCTGCTGTCCTCGTCATCGCTTGGAACAGCCGGAGCAGGCTCTCGATAAGCAGGCTGAGCTTTCCACCATTCTCCTGCAGGTCTATGCTCTGTTGTTTGACCATGATGCTTGCAACATGCAGCAACACCAATGGGAGGAGGAGGAGGTGCGGGTTCGGGTTCTGGAGACTGTTCCAGAGGTGGAGATGAATTAGGGCGAGTTGAAGGTGGTGAAGGATTTGGAATAGATGGATTGGGAGTCGGTGTAGGGGGTGCTCGATGAACACCAGAATCATCCTTGTCATCTTCCCCGTCATTCCGCACAACCTGTGGCTTGGTGTGAGGAGGTAAATCGACAAATGAGGATGGTGGATTCCGAGGAATGCGCTCCAGTAGTGAAGGTTTGTTTCCTGGGAAGTAGTGCTCGTCAAAGACAGCATGCTCGGATGTGACCATTTTTCTGGTGACAGGGTTGTAGAACAACCAGATGCGGGCAAGGAGCGTGGGTGGGAAGGCACAGGGGATGCTGGAGGAGCAGGTGCATGACACTGTTTGGGTCTGTCATCCTCCTTGTCAATAATAACAACAGTAGGAGGATTAGGCAGCAAAGGCAGGCTGTGAAGTGCAGAGGGATCTATCCGAGGACATTTCCTCATCTGCTCAGCACTGCTCCCAGGGAAGTAGCGTTCATCAAACACAGCTCGCTCTGAGATCACCATCTTGCGCGTCACTGGGTTGTAGAATTCCCAGGCCTTGTACTCTGAGGGATAACCCACAAAGATACACTTCTCAATATGGGAGCCAGAGGCATCCCGTTTATCTTTCTGCACATGCACATAGGCAAGGCAGCCCCACACCTTAAGATGAGACACATCTGGTTTCTGTTTATGCCAGAGCTTGTGTGGAGTAGTATTTCCTCCGATGTGAGCGGAGGGATGCATGTTGGACACGTGAATATATGCACCAACAGCAAGAGCCCTGAACGAAGCAGGGAGATTTGCTTCATGTAGCATCGCAGTTGTGTGTTCATCTATAGTGCGATTGGCACATTCTGCTGTCCCATGTTGGAAAAATGGCTGAACTGGGATTCGAACCCAGGACCTCTTAGGTGATTGCACCACCAGTGCTCTTACCAACTGAGCTATTCTGCTGATAGTGTGAAAGGAACAAATCCATACTTCAACACCATGCAATCTCCTTTCCAGCATCAACTCCTGCAACATACTCTGCCTCTGTAGTGGAAAGAGACACAGTTGTTTGCAGTTTGCTTCTCCAGCTCACTGGTCCACCAGCCATCATCACGACAAAACCACCAGTGCTTTTCATGGTGTCTTTATCACCACCATGATCAGCATCAGTGTACATGAAGAACAACTCGTCAGGGTCGACGTAGGTAGTGAACTTGTAGAGGGAAGGAGATTTGGAGTAGGTGATGCGGTAATCAAGAGTGCCTTTGATATAGCGGAACAAGTGCTTCAGAGCGGTGTAATGGGCTTCTCCAGGATTGCTGTTGAAGCGTGCAAGAACACCCACTGCATAGGAGATATCTGGACGAGTTTGGATAGCCAAGTACATCAGAGAGCCCACAGCACTGATATAAGTGCCTTTGAGGTGTTTGGACTCATCTTCAGACTTGGCTCCCATCTCCTTGGTTAGGCTAAGACCAGGCAGCATAGGGGTGGATACAGGCTTGCAATCAGACATTCCATACTGCTCAAGCATGTTCACAGCATATTGCCGCTGTGAAATTGCAATGTCTCCAGTCTTAGAGTTGCGCTCAACCTTAATCCCCAGAAGCCACTCTGTGGGACCAAGATCCTTGACTCTGAATGCAGAGTTGAGTTCAGCGATAACTCGGTCAATATCAGCATCATGCTTGGAGGCAATGACACCATCATCAACGTAGATGGGAAGAATGATGCGAACAGCTCCATCTGAACAGACAAAGCATGAACGATCAGACTGGAGACACTTGAAGCCCATTTGTTGGAGCTTCTCTCGCAGCTTCTTGTGCCATTGCCTGCCAGCCTGCTTAAGTCCATAAAGAGACTTTCGCAGTTTGAGAAGCTGGCCGGGTCTGCCTTGGGGAAACCCTTCAGGTTGCGTCATATAGACGTTTTCATCAAGGTCCCCATTGAGGTAGGCAGAACTGAAGTCAATGGAACGAAGCTGGAGATCATGTCTTGTTGAAGTATGGATTTGTTCCTTTCACACTATTGGCAGAATAGCTCAGTTGGTAAGAGCACTGGTGGCGCAATCACCAAGAGGTCTCCGGTTCAATTCCGGGTTCAGCCATTTTTCCAACAGGTGAATGGAGGTCAGTGTTTTATAGGCATTGAAGCAAGCTCCAGCCTTCCTTGGAGCGAAAATAGACTCCAAGGTGTCCCACATTGCTTTAGGATCGTCTTCATGCTGCTTAACGAGGGGCTTGACATCTGAGCCCAACATGGACCACAGAATGCCAGCACACTTCTCTCTTCTCAGGAGATCATCTGGTTTAGATGTTGTCGCCAAGCAGTGGCCAAACACCTCCTTGCAACGCAAATAGGCTTTAGCATCACTCTTCCAATCGGAGAAGACTTTCTCTTTGGATAGAAGAAGATGTGACATGTCAGGCTTTTCATTGTGCCAGAGCTCATATGGAGTGGTATCCTCCAGAATGTGAGCAATTGGATGCATATTGGCAACATGAATATAAGCAGCTACAGCAAGTGCCTTGAATGATGGTGGCAGGTTTGCTTTGTATAGCATGGCCGTAGTGTGCTCATCAATGGTGCGATTTCCACGCTCTGCAGTCCCGTTCTGTTGCAGTCTGTTCCTCGTCAAATGACGGCACACAATGCCTTCAGAGGCGAGATTCTCAAACTTTTTAGACATGTACTCTCCACCTTCATCATCTTGCAGTGCCTTGATCTTACGCCCAAAGTGATTCTCAGCATAAGCTTTGAACACCTTGAACACATTGAATGTACCACTCTTGCGCTTCATATGCACTGCAGCTTTGAAGCTTGTATGATCGTCAATAAAGAGAACACAATATCTCCACCCCTCATGAGTGTAGACTTTGTATTCCTTCAGGATGTCCAGTAGAAGAAGGACACGGAGCCACATTCAGCTTGCCAGCAAGACAAGGCTCGCAGATTGGATCTGGCTTCTGGTTTGAAGTGATCTTCACACCAGCCATCATCCGCCTTTTTGGTGTTGGTTCTGTTCTCTCCAGAGTGCAGGGGGAGTAGCGAGACTGGTCTTGTCCTGGGGGAGTGTTGAGTCCTGTGTTTGAACTCTACCATTCTCGGACTTCCTATATGATTCCTTCTCGCCCATCTGATTTAATGTTGATTGTGGATGCATTTTGTTGACGCAATTGTGGCCATATTTGTAGACAATGTTTGTGGACATATTTGTGGACCCATATAGCTTAGGTCCCCAGCGATCTGATGTAGATATATAAGTAGGTTCGTGCTGTCCTGGGTCCTCAGTTTCTTACTGTGGATGCCAGCACAATTCTCTCTCAAGGATACATCATCTGGATCAGATGATACAGCAATGCAATGGCCAAACACCTCCTTGCGACATATGTAGGCCTTAGCATTGCTCTTCCAGGTGGTCCACATGGACTCCTTGGAAAGGACAGGGATGATAGAGTCTGAATAGTCTGACATGATGCCAGGGAAATGGGCAGGAAGATAGGGATGAAAAGCTAGAACCAAATGCCACAAAGACAAATGGTGGCCCTCAGGAGTGTGTGTGTGAAGAGGAAGATGTAGGTAAACCAGGTGTAGCTAGGTAGTGTAAAAAGCTAGTTCTAATGAACACCCAGTTGTAAGGCACTTGGGCCCTGAAAGAAGATTTGTCCCAACAGTTGGTGTTCCTATCTACAAAAGTCACACACACTATAAGGGCAGGAAAGTGATGCAGAATGTGCAGAAAAGATGAGGATCTCAGGATAGACTCAAAGAAGGGCAGGGCCCATAACCTTTTGAACAGGCAAGCACAGAGGTCTGGAGTCAACAGTTAGAAACTCTGTTAAGCTTGTATGTAAAGTGAACTATCTACTCACCTGGAGTCAACAGTAAGAAACTGAAGACCCAGGTCGATGCTAGCCTACTTATATATGTCCTGGAGAAGGACTCAGATGGGTCCCATACCAAGCAATGACCAAAGTTGGGGCACAGGTGCCAGCGGTATTCCCAAGGAAAACAGTAGGGACTGCATGCCATTAAGGCTGAAGCCAATCATCATCATAGAGGGGATGATGAATGGCAAAATCCCCAGCTGCCTCAAAGCTGCCTTTAGATATTACAAGTTGAGGTCCCATACATTGCCGATGTTGCATACCTCTTCCTTGGCAGCAGATTATTGATGTCATACATGACATGCACTACCCAGCTTCATGGAAGCCTATATTCTCTTGCCAAACTTGAAACCCACTGTGGAAGACCCAGGAACCTGCACTGCATGTTTTCCTCATTAACCTTGAGCCTGACAGAAGCAGTGGCATTCACATGGCATATTAATCTGATGGGTCTGCTGCCTTATGTCCCTAGATTATACTTAGCACCACATAAGCCCTTGCAGCCCAGTCTAGAAGATGACATAACCAAAAGATATGTAATATCCTCTGCAGGCAATGAGATCTGGTAAGAATGGTTTGGCTGCCACCACAAGGCCTCCACCAGAGAGAAGAACATAGACAATGGAGTGTTAACAGAAAAAACTCAGACATGTCAGCTAGGTACATAATGTTGGAAAAATGACTGAACTGGGAATCAAACCCAGGACCTCCAGATTATCTGTCTGATGCTCTAACCAACTGAGCTATTCTACCAATAGTATCGAAAGGAACAAATCCATTCCCTGACACATAATTGGTTGACCCAGGAACTTGATGTCATCACCTGCCAATCCTTTCCACGTGACAAGCCGTTCTGGAAGTGCAACCAGAAGGGGGTAGAACAGCATAGTGGTTACCATCCCTCAAGACACAGCCCCAGGCAAATGTGCTATGCTGTCAGCACATAAAGCATTTTGCATGAGCTCGCAGGTTTGAATCCTGCTGCCCCCACCCTCGGAGAAACAATTTAGACACTCCAGGATTCTACCACCCAATTTTGGCCATCAACTGGCATCAGATTAAACCCACTGATTGCATCACTCATGCCAAGCAAACAAACAAGCTGTTTGGAGATACGCACATCATGGGAATCATTTGCAGAGAGTCTGAAGGATCACGATCAATCAGCTGAATGATTACAATTAGTGATACAGTTGATGTACTACTAGACTCCGACATGAGCCGGATGTTTCTGGTGGTATCCACTTCAAGTGCATGACCTATGTTGAGGGATCCATGCCGGACAATGTGGGGATCTGGACTCAAAAGGTGGGTCTCATAGTTTTCTGAGATTCAGCTGCAACTTAAAGACGAGACAGGTTTTTGAGACCGACAACAATGAACATATATATATATATCGCCACCTACATGTAAATATCCACAACACAGCATGAAGTGATATCGTGGGGTACATTGTTCTGCAGTTCGACGTGTTCAACCCACCACTCTTCTCTTGGTCTTCTTTCACTCCTAATTTTCTCTTTCCTCTTAATTTGCTCCTCACTTGCCACCCCGATCCCGTGCACTCACACAAAGTTTATGTTACATGTAACCCCTCTAGACACTGTAGTGATCTATTAATGGAATGGAATAAGGGTTTGTGCATTGCATTTACCCTAATTTCCTGGTTTTCAATTCTAAAGGAAGAAAGTAACGGAAACCTTTGTCTGAACAATGTATTTCAAAGATATCTGCCGTCAGACCTAGAAACCCTCCCCAGACAACCACTACTGCACAAGACCCAGCACTTCCTTGGGCTTGTTGTACAGCACCTATTACACATCAAGTTGAGGCACATGTTAAACAGGCAAGCACAGAGGTCTGGAGTCAACAGTAAGAAACTCTGTTTGAAAGGAGCCAAGCTCGAATGACAATCCTGAAGCTGCGAACAAACCCCGTGCCAGTGTTGTCCTTCAAGGCAGACACGAAACTCGCCATCGCGAGATTGGACCACCTCCTTCTCGGTGAGCTTTGCCAGGTCGACCAGCGGAGCCCGGTACACCATGGCCTGGCACTCCCTCCCCTGTACGTTCGCCACTGCAGCCACCTTCGTCGGCGCCGCCACATACGACCTCGCTGCCCCCCTCCTCCTCCATTGTCCATCTCGCTGGTGAGCAATGTACTACGGTGTCAGCGGGGCGATCGTGATTCGCGCTGCACCACGCAGCCCACAGCTCATGCTCGGGCTCGTGCCAGGGTGGCACGTCCATGCCTACACCCCCTCCTGTCGACGATGGGCATGAGACTCACAGCTACCATCCACTGCGCATGTCTTCCCCACATCTGCTGACCAGGAGCCGAGACGCGTTCCCCGTGGGAAACTGGCACCATCGGCGTATGCGGGCACTCCAGCGACAGAAGACGGAGACCGTGCCGAGGCCACGGGAGAAGACGGCCACCGTGGAAAAGGTGAGGAGCCAATACCGGAGCACCACAAAGGTCCACATGCACCACCTTGTCCTGAGGCGACATTGGCTGCTGCAGGATCAAGAGAACAATAGAGATAGCCAATTGACTGGAACAGGTAGTCTGTGAACAGGCCAGAAAAAGACAGGCAAGGTGACATGAACATAATGGCCACAGGGGTCTAAGATCTCAATCAAGTCCACCCAGTCCATCAGAATACAGCGAGACCGGTAAACAAATGGTGCAAGTGGTATTGGACGATGCAATATGGGTGCAGCAGGACATGTGAGTCGAAGTTGGGACAACATACAGAGAGTCTTGTAGATGTCAAAAATGCTACCAAACGGCTGAGGAATCGAAAATAAGAGAGCCCAAAGTCCGGAAAATCATCATAGTTGCTGAGCTCTTACGTCACGGATAGACTCTGCAACATGATCGGGGATGCATTGTGATGGATATCCGTAAGTTCGGCCCCGAATGAGTCTTCACGCACCCGATAAAATCTAGTGCTACCATATGCGGAAGAGGCTGGTGAAGCCCAATGCAGTGCAAGATGTACGCTCCTTGACGGTGGCACTTGTAATGCCAGAAGTGTTTTGAGACAGAATTTTGCCTGATTGCAGCTGAACCTAGTTGAAATGTGGCAGTAGATCTGGGTTGTGACTTGTCTACTGTGCAGGTATCAGAATATCAACTTGCAACTTTTTAGAGGACAAGAAATTACTGACAAGCAGGCACCAGTGAACTGACTCGCAACTGAGGGGAATGTTGAGAGCATCCAGCACTGCTACCTGAGGGCATCTGTCCAAATCGAATCCCGAGGCTCCCCTCTCATTCCACACTGCAACTACATTTTTATCGAAAAATGAATGAGATTGAGGCATTTGTTTGATTTTCCCGACCTGAAACTGGTCGGGGAACCAGAATCTAGTCGAACATTGGGATAGTTTCTTCGGTTTTACTGCCCGATGCTTGGGATGGGTTTGAGGTATCTGGACGATGTATGAACACCAACGAACCTCATCAGAGGTTATTTTGAAGTCAGAGACAAGGTGTGGAAGGAGCTAGACGCGGTGCGGCACTTTACCCTTTGCCGCGGCAATTGCACAGCCACCGCCGTGTCAGTGCCGCGCCACTGCTGTGTCAGTTCCCCACACCGCCGCGTCAGTGCGCGGCAGTCGCGCGGCACTCACGGCATTTCCACCCAGCCCTTTGAAATTGTCTGCAGTGCTCTGGTCGCTGAACCAGTATGCCCAAATTGCGACCACTGCTGCCAAAGACTCCTTCTATGACGAGGCCAGAGCCCTTCTTACTCAAGCTAACCCCACTGAATACGCAGGAGTCTGGCTGCACCCAAATCGATCATAGCAAATATGTTGCATCCACGCTTGCATCCACCACCAAGGCACACGGAAAGGTGGGTGCACAATTCATCAATGATGGGTTAATTTCGAGCTTTACCAGGTTCAGACTGAATTTGAGCGATGCTCAATAGGCCAAAAGAAACAGAGAGAGCGAGAGTTCAAGGAGAATCAGAACAAAGTGGGTTCCCTTTCATCTGAGGGTGTGGCCAGGCTGCCAAACAATCAAGATGATTCAAGTCTAAGGAGCCGAGGCCAATGAACCCTCACCGTTCAGCTGCACTGGGTGGCGGCAGCACGAACTTGCCACCGACATCCAATATTTATTACAAGCCCGAGGACACGAGAATATTCATTCTCGAGCTCAAACTTTATGAAGGAGAGTCGAAAAAGTGGATAGATTCTCATCCAAGTTGCAGTATGTGGGAGTCATGTTAGACTATTTATTTTATTCATTGTTTGCTCGGCAGATCCTATGCAAGCTCTGGATCTGGCACTTGACCATGAATATGAGGTGAATGAACCCCGGCATCAGGAAAGATTTCGGGAAAGTTATAGGACTCGGATGCTCAGATAATGTGCTGAATTTCATGTTACACTTTCAACATGGCCTTCTATTTAATCTATGAATTATGTGTGAAACAGTTATTCAGAAGAGAAGCATGCCGAGATGAATAGACGAATGACTCCGAAATGGAGAACATATTGCTGCGGAAAATAAATTTGACTGAAAACAAGTAGCCATTTGGGATTCCAAGCTGCGCAAAGTTGCATAGGTAGCAGAAAAAATGGCCAACCCTTACATCTGTGATAACGTTAACTTTTCATGAGCGGCATCCTCAGGAAAAAAAAAAAATTTTTCAACAATAGAATCTGCGTGTTGACTTGACCGTAGCAAAGCACGGGTATATCAGAAAACTAGATCATTTGAACTACTCGTTATCACAAAAAGTAACCGGAAAGGGTGTATCTCCGCAGTAGAGCCTGACTCTTAGCACTTTTTTAATTGGTAATTGACAAAGGGGCTTACCTCAACATGGGACACCAGAAATTACCATTTGGTCTACTTTCGTTGCTGCGAAAATAAAAAATTTAAATCATTTTTTCATTAAGGCGGTGATTTTGGCCGCTTTTTAGTTTATTCATGGAAGGATTGAGGGCATCCTCCCACCGCTTAAATTTTTTGTGTGGGTTCCAACAGACCTAAAGCTAATTATCAGATACTTGGGTACCCAGAATTACCATCGGGACAATGCTTAAAAAGGAAACACCGTCAATTCTCGATTATTTCCGAAATTTAATATTGCACTCAGTATGAACTGCTGCACTTCCCTTCCAATTAATATCATTCAAACATACTCCCGCATCATAATAGGTCCGAGGGGGGGGATAGCTGATCACGACATTAAGAAGATATTCAAAGAACTTCAAAAGAATTGCGGCCTCAAAGTCTCCCGAGTGACAGAATCAAGGTATGGAAGCGCTGTGATGAAGTCATAATCGGGTTTTTCGGGCAAATTCAGAATCTGTGTTAGTAAATCAGATTAGTGCATCCTTCTTCGTTAGCTCTTACCTCCTCTTAACAATTAGTACTTTGCAGGACACCTCACCCAATCGCTCGGAAAACTGTGAATTCTGTGTTCTCATATATGACGGGCTTTCCGACTTTGTCTGAAAAGTTAGGGAGGGTTGCAGGAATGGGGACAGTCTGTCAATTCACAGAAGCTCACTTGAAGGCAACTGCATGACGGCGCAACTCATGCAAATGAAGTCGAATATTGTGGTTTGATGCGGGGCCCCTGGGAGAGGCCGGGAGTTGGAAGGAGCCGTTGAGTGCTGAGAACAGTGCAAAGTCAAGGGAAATGTAATGTTCACCGGTCTGCGAGCTGACGCCAGAGGGCTGTCAGGTTTGCAGGGCTGTCAGGTTTGCAGAGAGCACATATTTTA